CTTCTCCCCAGAAAGTTTTTGGGAGGTTTGAGGTAATCAAGAGGCATCTTACTTTATTTAGAAGTGTTCTGTTCATCCTCTCAGCCACCCCATTTTGCTGAGGGGTATTTTTCACTGTCCTATGCCTCAGGATCCCCTGTTCACTATAAAACTTATCAAACTCCAGATTACAGAACTCAAGCCCATTGTCAGTCCTAAGGGCTTTCACCTTTCTGCCAGACTGTTTTTCAACAAGGGTTTTCCAGTCTCTAAACTTTGCTAGGGCTTGATCTTTTGTCCTAAGTAGGAATACCTAGACCTTCCTACTGTAGTCATCTACTATTGAGAGGAAATAGCTGTTTCCACCATGAGATTTAACCTTTTCTGGCCCCCATAAATCAGAATGTATTTAATCCATATATTTGTTTGCTATTTGAACTCCCTTAGGAAAACTGTTCCTATGTTGTTTACCAAGTACACAATTTTCACAGAATTCTAGACTGGTAACAGTATCTTTCCCAAATTGTCCTAGCCTGTTCAGTACATCCATCCCCTTCTGACTCATATGACCTAACCTTAAGTGCCACCTTTCAGTTACTGATAAATTTGGAGACCCAAGTGTTGTGCTGTTGCAGTTAGAATAAAAACTACCACAAAGTACATACATACCATTTTTCTTTTCTCCTGTCAGCACAAGATTCTCATTTTTATAGACATTCAACCACCCACTGTTTGCCTTATAGCAGCAACCTGTTTCATCTAGGGTGCCTAATGATATGAGGTTTCTTCTTAAGTCAGGTATATATCTGACTTTGGTCAACCTTATTAGTTTTTCCCCACTTAACCTAAGAGTTATGCAGCCAATCGCCTTAACCCTACATGCTTGGTTGTTCCCCATGTATACAGTCTCATGATCAGACTCCTCAAAGTCTTGGAACCAACTCCTATTAGGGCTCATATGGAAAGTACACCTTGAATCTAATACCCATTCTTTTGTAGTGTTAGATATTGACACTGTTAGGACTTCTGGTTCATCCATTTGGTTACTAGTGGTGGCTAGGTTGCTCTCTGTGTTGCCTAGTTTCTGTTTCTTCTTCCAATCAAAACAGTTTTTCTTTAGGTGGCCTGTCTTATTACAGTAGTAACATTTCCTGGTTTCTGTTTTGGCTTTGTTGTTCCCCTTCCATTTCTTCTTGTTCTTACCCCCTTGATTTGGCTGAAATCCTTTACTAGACTGAGTAGATTCTATTCTACCCTTCACAAACAGAGTGTTATTATTTCTCTTAAGAGTTTTAAGCTCTAATTCTCTAGCCTTAAGACCTGTAACTATCAAATCAACACTGGGTACAGTACCGGAGTATTGAAAGGCATTCTTGACTACTTGGTAGTCTTCAGTTAGGGAATTTAATAATATCATGGCAAGACTAGTCTGTCCTAGTTCTTGGTCTGTGCCCTTTAAGATTAGATTCATCTTAAGGAATTCATCTAAGTTTTCCTCTATGGACTTCGAATTATCCATCTTATAAGAGAATAAGGCTCTCTTTAAGAAAGCCAAATTTAGTGCAGACTGTAAGGCATATAAAGATTCTAATTTACCCCATAAACCAAGAGGAGTTTCGAATCCATCTACCTTCCGAAGGACACTGTCTGACAGATTCATCACAATCAGGTTATAAGCTTCTTCGTCAATCTCTTCCTTCTTCTCCAGCTTCTCCTCTGACCATTTCTTGGGATCCTTTTCCAGTGCAATTGCAACCTTGTTGTGTGAGAGAAGAGCCTTCATCTTCTTCTTCCAGCTCCCGAAGTTGATCTTCCCATTGTATTGGGAGATCTCCATACAGGTAGTGCTTATTTTTCCTGTAATGGTAGGGAAGGACAGTCTAAGATGTACGTAGTGTTGTTACACCAGAAGTTGCCAATTACTGCTAGGCAGTTTTTAAGGCGATCACTGGTTTTCTAGCCAATATACCCTTACACTTTATCAAGATTTGACTCTCTAGAACCAATTCTAGACTCATAGAAATAAACAATTTAAAAAACCCCAATTTCCGAAACCCTAATTTTGTGAAACCCTAATTTTTTCAAAAAATTCCCAAATTCCCAAAACCCTAATTTCGTAAAAAACTTCTTATACCGAAACAACGACAGAGAAGGTGAGTCTAAGGTGTACGAGGCGTTGTTACACCAGAAGTTGCCAATTACTGCTAGGCAGTTTTTAAGGCGGTCACTGGTTTTCCAGCCAATATACCCTTACACTCGATCAAGATTTGACTCTCTAGACTTACTTTTGGAGACTCACAGGAATTGATTTGATAAAACCCCCAATTTCTCAAAAAAGAACCTTAATTTTTACGAAACCCTAATTTTGTAAAAAAGACGAACTTCAACTTCAAGAAATGGCTCTGATACCACTGTTATAACTGAAACTTAATACTGATCTATACACCAACACAAATCAATCACACCAAGAAACAAGAAAATCACAACAGGAACAAACACACAAACAAGCCACGATTTACCGTGGTTCACTTGTCCTTTTATGGATAAGCTACATCCACGTTGAGCTCAAGAACGGTATGAGCTCGCTGCACTTCGATTATCAGAAACAGTCAAGATTACACAGATTCAACACTCACCAGATCTACCCAATCACAAATAGCAACCAGTCTTACAAGATACTCTCTGAATATCCCTAACCCGAGAGAACAACACTCTCACCTGAATGATTAAACCCCCTAATCACTCGACTGATTTACCTCACAATCTGGAAGAAATAATCTCAACCTTAACACAGAGAAGTGCAAACCTAGAAAACCCTAAAATATGTGTGTCTCGCCTAATCTGAACGAAAGTGTGTTTATATATGGTTTGACTTCGTGGTTGATCCTGGCCGTTAGATCTGGAGTGCATCCTATGGTCTAAATTTGTCCCGGTCAATATGCCTAAAACGACGTCGTATTATTGTTACTCAAAACGACGCTGTTTCAGGCTTCCACATTTAACACCAACAAATCTGTGTCACATTATATTATTTTATAATTACTCTACTCTCCTAATGTAACAAATTTATAGCAATTGCAACAGAACCTTTATCTGTTTCATATTCAACCCAAATAAGATCCAGCATACGTACATAGATAAAGCATTTTTCTGCAACATCAAACCCTAGAACCCCATTTCGAAAGACAACTGATTCAGTAGATAACATACAATTATGATTCTAGGATTCAATCATGCTCCTTATTGAATGAATATGCTGCTTTGAAATGTGCAATGAAACTACTTCATAACAATTACATAACAATCACTTATTGATAAAAAGTAAAAACTAATGGGAATAGAAACATACCAGCAGCCTTGAAGAGCAAAACAAAAGCAAGACATGGAGATTGGAGTCTGGAGATGAGTGTAAGTGAGCTAAATAGAGGACGAGAGTGAGTGTGAGTTAGGATACACATACCTTGGATGAGTTGACGTCAAGACTTGAGATAGGAGAAGCGGCGATGGTGGACTTAGGGATTTTGATGAGTTTGAGGGAAGACTGATGAGAGATTGAGATTGAGAGTGAGTTTGAGTTAGGGATTTTGCGATTTTAGGAAAACTGAAAAGGGAAAAGGGTGTGGCGATTGAAGATGCGTTAGGGAAAAAGTGAGTTTGAGAGACTGCAGACGTCAAGAGTGGAGACGACGGTGGAGCTAGGGATTCTGATGAGTTTGAGAGAAGATTGATGAGAGAGAGTAAGTTTGAGTTAGGTTAGGGATTTTGCGATTTGGGGCAAAATGAAAAGGGTAAAGATTTAAAAAAAAAAAACAAACAAACAGGTACCCAAGGTGTATCTATCTAACCCGTTGGTAAAACAAGCGGACCAAGTACGGATCGAGAAAAATGAGTCTAATGTTAAAGACCCATACTTTATATTTTTAACTCGGGTTTAGGGTCGACCCACAGGTCTTAACTCGTTTTGTTAGGTCTACATGAGATTATCATTGGAAAATCTCTCTTGTATGTTCGATAGTATGATGTCATGTGTGATGTGTGTATATATTAATATTAATTAATAAATATTATAACAAGTTAGATATGCATAGACCATAACCACACCATGTGTTTAGTCTAGTATAACTTTTTCCTCTTTTTCATATTTTTGGTTTTAAAAGTATGAATTCAAAAAAAGGGTTGTTTTTCTAAAACTAAATGAAGGGAGTATTAAAAATATGAAATTTTTGTATATAGTATAGTCCAGACGCATTGAAAATGATAATCAACTTTTCACATGCATGACACCCTCCTCAACTGCACGGACCACAAGCACATGATGTATTTACTGTAGTATAAGATTTTTATTTAGGTATGTGTCAATTCAAGTTCAGTTATGTTTTAGTGTCGCTATTAAACGATGTCATAATCCTCTATCCGTCCTCTCAAGAAAAGAAAAAGAAAAAAAATCAAAAGATAACACTAACTTCTTGCATTTTGATTTTTATTAGAGCATAATTTTCTCAAAATACTTTCTTTAATTCATATTACTGTATGAGAATAACGTTAGCAATAGAAGAGAAACAACGGTAATCCATTTAAAATTTGTATACACGAGAAACAACTTCTTATAGTAGTTAAATTAATTTAAAAAAAAAAAAAACCACTGTTGAGTAGCTTGATTGTAAAAGAGCAAATGAGGATCTAACATAGTTTTCCAAGTTTGAATCCCCTTAATAGTAAAAGAATAAAAGAAGAATCTAATATGACTTCTCAAATTTGAGTCCTCTTGAATGTAAAAGAGTAAGAGGAGGATTTAACATGGTTTCACAAGTTCGAATCCCCACGATTGCTAATAAGGGAGATCATTGGGGCTCTTATCCGGTCAGTAATTTTAGAGTCTCGAGGGATTAGTTGAGGTGTGTATAAGCTAGTCTAGACACCCTCGGTTATAAAAAAATAATAAATAAAAAATGAAGTTAAAAAAAAATATATTTTTTGCTGATAAAAAAAAAAAATAATTAAAATAATTAATCATAGCCATGAATAATAAAAATGTCATCTAATTTTAGATACTTCGAAAGTTAAATGAACAAAGGATCAAAATCCATAGTTGATGTGTACCCCACATCATGAATTCATCCATTTATTTTAGAGTATATATTCTACAAATATCTCATATCAATTGCCCCCAAATAATATTCTTGCCTTTCATGGTATAATTTTCATGTCTCTCAGTCTCTCCACCCACATTCTAATACTCTTGAATGTATCAGCAAAGCCATGAAACCCAAATTCTCTACTCTTATTCATGCTACAAACATGTTGAAAATCAAAATTCATCACAATTTTTAGAGCATCAAAACAAGTTATCTCCTCCAATTTGGTCTTAAAGAGTCCATGTTTCTCCACAATCTCATCCCAAACTCCTCCTTTCTCCTTCATCATCTCCACCAAATCAAACCCTTTTGCAATTTCATCATCGAACTCCACAAACTTAACCTCAAACACTTCACATAACACTTTCCATAAGCTTTTCCATGTAAAAACATCTCCATTGGTGCAATTGAATGCTTGATTCTTAGCCTTATCAGACAAAGCTGCCCATATTTGTTGTTGTGCCAAGACACTTGCGTCAGTCATATCACAGAAGTGCTCCCATGTGTATCGAGTGCCTAGATATAAAAAAAATTAGCAAACTAGTTTATCAATACGAAAATTCTCAAATGCAAATATCTTCAAATTTTTAATTTGCACTTCAAGACGTATGGCCACACTTCAAGAGGTCCGGCAACAAAAATCGACTATATATAGTTAGAGGTGTTCAAAACCGGTTAACCGATCCTAATATCCATTTTTTCTTGAACCAAACCGATTCTAGGGGAAAACCGGTTTTAAATCGAATTGCTTTTCCGGTTAATCGGTTCCTCAAAATCAATTAACTAATTTTGAATTAGTTTTCCCCATAACAGTGTAAAAATGTATACCAAAACTTTAAAAAAATTCACTAAACCGGTTAATCGGTTTTGAGTCTTTTTTCCCTTTTGGGCTTTTTAATTTTTATTGCAAAACAGTTAATCGGTTCTCAGAATCCACTAAATAGGTAACCGAACTAAAAAATTGGTTTAGAGAAATTCTTGAACCGAAACTGAACCGGTCTATCAAAAAACTATTTTTTTCAGTCCGATTACTTGTTTGGTTCAGTTTATAGATTTCTTTCGAACAACCCTATATATAGTGGAGCTATGGTAGGATTTGGAGGGCTTCCCATCTTGTATTTTAGATTATTTTCTTTATTTAACTAAATTTTATAAATTTTTTTATATTAAAAGCGATAAAGCTTACATGTTAAACCAAATAATTTTGGTTGTTTNATCTGTTTTTCATGTTTCAAAAATTTCTTTAAAAAAAAAAGGGGGTATATTGGGTACTATATTATTTTAATATTAATTGTTTGAAAGTTTATATAAAAACTATGAGAGGAAATTGCCCTAGAATTAACCCATTTAAAAAAAAAAAAAATTACTCTTATAAAATTATCAAAATCCCCGTAAATTTGTTAAACAAAAGCAACCAAAGTTGGTTATTACAATATATAGGTATTTATAATATCAAAATTTCTCATGTGTAGATCAATGATCAACTTTTGATTTTAGGTTCTATGAAGTTAACAACTGTGTTCATCTTTGATTCATACATTAAAATTTTTTAAAAATATGCATAAGAGATTAACTATTCATAATATTACTCTTCAAAAGTCATTAAAAATGAAGAAAGGTAACAACATATTTAATTGTGAGAATCCCCACGATAAAAGGTTTATTATAATATATTCTCAAAGTTAGGATTGGCAAGAGATTGTACGATCTATCAGAGGGGTAAATGAGAAAAACCCCATGAAAATTAATCAAAGTCATCAGTCAACTCCACTCCCAACAACACGCCCAAACATTTTCTCATAAAACTTCCCTCCCTCGTAAATTCCAACGATCACCCATTTCCTTCTTCTGTCTCTTCTTCCCCAGCCCGCCACAAAAACTTAACTAACTTCTTCACATTATCATTTACACCCCCAAGCTCAAATGAACCTCCCTCTTCATGGCTGTTCCTCCTATTTACTCCTTTCTTTCTTGTTTTTACTATACCCTTTGGCCTTCTCTCAACCTTCTCCAGACCAAAACGCCACCATGATCAAACTTTCTCAGCTTTTCAACAGTTCAGCCGCAGGATGGGATGTTACAAAGCAGCCGAACCCTTGTTCGTGGAAGGGAGTTAACTGCAGAGGTGGTTCCTTGATAACTGGGCTTTCTTTATCTGGGTTTGGTCTCTCTGACTCTGACTTTTTGTCTGTTGTTTGCAATATTAGTTCTTTGCAATCGCTTGATGTTTCTGAAAACCAGTTTAGCTCAATTCCCCATGATTTCATTACAAATTGTGGAAGGATTGGTGGGCTGAAGTCGTTGAATTTTAGCAAGAACTGGTTGCATGATTCTTTTGTTGGTTTTGATGGTTTTGTTGGATTAGAATTCTTGGATTTGTCTTATAATAGATTGAGTGGAAACATTAGTTTACTGTTTGATGAATTAGTTAATCTCAAAATTTTGAATGTTAGTCGCAATAATTTTGAAGGGGTTATTCCTAGCAATCTTGGGAAATCTAAGGCTTTAGAGCAACTTGTGCTTTCTGTGAACCATTTCAGTGGTGAAATACCTGAAGAAATTGCAGATTCTTTGTTAATGTTCTATAGTTTGGAGGTTCGAGTTATTTGGTCGGACTTATTTATTAGTTATAAGCACCTTAGAAATTTTATTTTATTATTTTGTTTGTTTAGTTTCATCTCAAAAGAGTTTATAAGATTTTAAATTAAAATAAGTAGTTTACGTTGATGGTAAGTTTCCTAATAAACATTATAGATTATAACACTTTATTTTGATGGCTGGATTGATAGAGGAGTGCATGGTTGTGAAAGTCTGAGTTCGAGTTGTAGTGTTGTACCAAGAGTGGCCAATTACCATACCTAAAACAAAAACAAAAAATTCCTATGCTATTTATTAAATTTGACTTTATCTTTTTGTAATACATTACATTCTTCTTCAATAATATAAGATTGAACACTTTTTACATATTATTAACTGAACAATGATAAATTTTTCATAAAAGTATTGTTTTCATATCTTCAACTCTAATAAGATTTAATTCCATATGCACACACTCGAATAAGTGTATCAAATAGACATTTTATATGTTAATATCAACAAAACTTCACCTGTAATCAATAGCCCAATGCTTGCAGTCTTGAGGTTGCTGTGGCTTGTATTCAGAAAATATGTTTTTCAATTCTAGAAAGATGTTTGGCTACTTAGAAAATGAGCAGAAGTGTGAGAAAATATGAGAATCGAGAGAGCATTATAGACTGAACATTCATGGGCTTTCGATATGTTAAACCCACCCAGAACATCTTCTTTTGGGCCTTTCTCCACCCCCTCTCTCATTTCTGAAGCGAAAATCAGATAATTATATTCCATCTATAATTTTTTTTGGTATCAGATCTATTTACGTACGTATAAATCTTTAAATTTCATTTTTTACTCGTGACAAACGTTGTGAAACCCAAATTTATATTCTTGAAAAATAAGTCACGCATAATAATAAGGAAGCTTAGTAGAAATTTCAAAATTGACGAAACATTGCACTCTTTTTTTTGTCAAGACCCGAAAGTCTTTTTAATGAAACAAATTCCAAACGCGTTTTTTGCGGTCAAAGTGGGCTCCTTGCCAATGACTTCAATTTAATGCCCTTTATTTTTTTTTTTTCTATCCACACTGCACACTTTTGAGTATAAAATTTACAGTCCCACTGTATATAATTTTTTATATAATATGTTATATTTATCATAAACTAAATATCCACTATAATTTTATAATAATTCTAAAACGTTATCCTTAGTTAGAATGTCTTGATATTAAATTTATCGGGATTATGTTTATCAATTAGGTTCATGGAATGATATAATATTTTATTAACTCAAATCCGATATATGTATGGTATTGATAAACATCTTATTCAAGAATTATTTATGTTATATATAATCATACATTTTGCTAGAGTCTAAACTTTTTAAAATTTGGTTGATGTTTTGTTTCTCTGTGCATTCGTGAATGGTAATGTTAGAATGTATGTTAGGATAGAAAAATCAAGATATTTGGACCGAAAATTTTGAAAAAAAAAAGAAAAAAAGAAATAATAACAATAATAAAAAGCTAAGAAAGTTTGGTATTGTGACAAAACCCTATAATAATAGATCAGCATAACATGGCTATTGAATATTATTAGTAAAATTAAAATAAATAAGAACTAATGTATTTTGAGTATTGATAAACACTATTATTAATGTCTATAACTTTGACATGTCACATTCAATTTTTGAAGTTGAAAAACGTTAGTATATGTTTAAAATTATCACATAAACTTTCTTCATTTAAATCATGGAATATAGTAAATTTAATTATAAAAAAAATAAATTTTAAATATATACACACTAAACCATGTAATTTTGTGATAAAGATTGATTTTTTTGTATCAACATTAGGGGTTTATATACTTGTGATCAAAGCTAATCGATAAATAAAGTCAAAATAATTTGATGAATAAATGATATCTTATAAAAAAAAAAAAAAATCTTAATATAAGACTTATTATGAAACCAATCCGAAAATATTATTAGATGGTTAATATAAACAATTTTTTTTAACATCAATATAATTTTTTTTAATATTCTATCTTGCTGAAACATGTAATCATATAAAATAAAAAAATAAAATTCGTTGTATAAAAGTTTTTGTATTATAAATTTTCGTTGTAAATTTGTGTTACAATAGTACGACAAAAATATTTTTGTAAACTAAAAAAAATAAATAATGCTTATTATTATAATTATAATTAGTAATAGGTGAATGAAAAAGAAAATCTAATTATTTAGTTATTGACGTGAGTGTGTAAGGTGGTGAGACAAAGTTTTAAAAAGGGCGAAGGTCAAAAGTCAAAATTAAAAAAATTAGGGTATACGAAAGGAAAGGAACCTTGTCGAGTCAGTCAGTCAGTCGTCTTTCTTGGAATTTGTTACACCCTTTGGGAAATTCTCATTCACATCCCTATAGATTGTTCTATTTCTCAAGCATCCATAATGTTTGGAAAGTATTACAAATTCCTTTAAAGATTAGTTGAATAATCAAAAACCCCCTTGAGAAATTATCAAAATTATTAATATAACTAAAATTATATTCTATTAGGGAGATAATTTAAGTTATAATAATTTTTTTTTTTTTTTTTTAGAAATTTCAACAAAAAACTATAAATTATAAAATCATTGACACTTCATTTATAGCTATTTATAGTTTTATACTAAACTATTATACCCTTGACATCATTTTTTATTAGATATGATGTTATACATAATACATACTATATTTTGTTGATTACAGAGGAACTTAGAAAATTTTAGATTTTATGATTTAAAATTTTGGTCAATAAAAGGGTGAGGATAAGAAAAATGTAAAAGAGATGAATTCTAAAACAATACATATCCAAATACTGATCTATCAACACAAAACAATCAAACCAAGAAACAAGAAAATACCACAAAATCAAACACACAAACAAGCCACGATTTACCGTGGTTCACTTATCCTTTTATGGATAAGCTACATCCACGTTGAGCTCAAGAACGGTATGAGCTCGCTGCACTTCGATTACCAGAAAACAGTCAAGATTACACAGATTCAGCACTCACCAGATCTACCCGTTTACAATAGCAACCAGCCTTACAAGATACCTTTTGAATATCCCAAACCCGAGAGAACAACACTCTCACCTGAATGATTAAAACCCCTAATCACTCGACTGATTTAACTCACAATCTGGAATGTAGAATCTCAACCCTAACACAGAGAAAAGAACCGACTCAGAGAACCCTAGCCACTGTATGTTTCTCTCTCTCCCAAAACTGAATGAACATACGCTTATATATGGTTTGACTCTGTGAGTGATCCTGGCCGTTCAATCTGAAACGCATCCTGTGGTCTGAATTCATCCAAGTTAATATGCCTAAAACGACGCCGTATTAGTGTTACTTAAACGACGCTGTTTCAGGCTTCCATATTTAACATCGGCTTTCTTTATCTGGGTTCGGTCTCTCTGACTCTAAGTTTTTGTCTGTCGTTTGTAATATTAGTTCTTTGCAATCGCTTGATGTTTCCGAAAACCAGTTTAGCTCAATTCCCCATGAATTCATCACAGATTGTGGAAGGATTGGTGGGCTCAAGTTGTTGAATTTTAGCAAGAATTGGTTGGATGGTTCTTTGGTTAGTTTTGATGGTTTTGTTGGATTAGAATTCTTGGATTTGTCTTATAATAGATTGAGTGGAAACATTAGTTTACTGTTTGATGAATTAGTTAATCTCAAAAGTTTGAATGTTAGTCGCAATAATTTTGAAGGGGTTATTTCTAGCAATCTTGGGAAATCTAAGGCTTTAGAGCAACTTGTGCTTTCTGTGAATCATTTCAGTGGTGATATACCTGAAGAAATTGCAGATTGTGCGAATTTGACCTTTATTGACTTTAGTCTCAATAATCTTTCGGGGTCTATTCCTAATAGAATTGGAGAACTTGCAAACTTGGAAGTTCTAATCCTCTCTGAGAATAATTTAAATGCTGGAATTCCAACAAACCTTTCCAGTATATCAACCCTGTCGCGTTTTGCAGCCAATCAGAACCATTTTAGTGGCTCAATTCCTGGTGGACTCACAAGATATGTGAAGAATTTAGATCTTAGTTACAATAAATTGACAGGGTCTATTCCAGGAGACCTTTTATCATTTACAAATTTGCAGACTGTGGATTTGTCTTATAATTTGCTAAACGGTTCAATACCTGATAAAATGTCTCCAAGCTTGGTCAGGTTGAGATTAGGAAGCAATTCACTCAATGGTGTGATCCCTTCGGTGAATTTTGCAACTCTGGAAAAATTGACTTACTTGGAGCTAGACAACAATAGCTTCACTGGAATGATACCTCCAGAATTGGGTGATTGCCAAACTTTGACGCTGTTGAACTTGGCTCAGAAAAAACTGAATGGTTGATTGCCGGTAAGATTGGGTAATCTCAGCCATCTTCAAGTCATGAAGCTTCAACTCAACAACTTGAGTGGATATATCCCTGTTCGGTTTTCGCAGCTAAAGAAGTTGTCTCAATTAAACATTAGCTGGAATTCGCTGACTGGTTCAATACCTCCTTCCTTTTCCAACTTGCAAGGGCTTACAAACTTGTACTTACAACACAACTATCTCAGTGGTCCCATACCTGATTCTATCAGGAACATGTATTCTTTGATAGAACTCCATCTTGGAGAAAATCAGCTAAGTGGCCGAATTCCACCGTTGCCAGTGAAATTGCAGATTGCTTTGAATCTGAGCAGCAATCTCTTTGAAGGATCAATTCCAGACAGTCTTGCTACTCTGACTGGATTAGAAGATTTAGATCTCTCAAACAACAAATTCTCTGGTGAGATTCCTTATTTTTTGACTCAAATGCCAACCCTGACGCAGTTAATTCTTTCTAATAATCAGTTGTCAGGAATTGTTCCGAAGTTTAGCCCGCATGTTTTGGTCAATACAAGTGGAAATCCGAACCTCATACATGCACCAGCACCAGCGCTAAACGCTTCCCCACCACTGGTAAGGGCAGAGAGGAGGATGCCAGTTGCAGTTGTAATACTTATGGCCCTCGCCGCTAGTGTTTATGCTGCTAGGGTAATCACAGTCATATGTTCCTTCTTTCTTCGAATAATCCGAAGTATTAGAAAATAGTAGAAAACAAAAATAAATGTTGACATGAACTGTATTAAACTATATTTTAAAATCAAGGATATGAGTCACTTTACGATAGAGTGTGTTTGTGTAGACTAATGCAATATTCAATCGGTCAATATAAAAAATTCACCATACAAGATAATCGTAATATCGACAGTAAATAAGAAGAAAATAAATTTTGACTCTACAGTACTGTAATGCCATTTGGATAGAATCACTTTTGTTAATGTTTATAGTTTGGAGGTTCGAGTTTATTTGGTCGGACTTATTTATTAGTTATAAGCACCTTAGAAATTTTATTTTATTTATTTCTGTTTGTTTAGTTTCATCTCAAAAGAGTTTATAAGATTTTAAATTATAAAATAAGTAGTTTACGTTGATGGTAAGTTTCTCTAATAAACATTAAATAGATTATAACCACTTTATTTTGATGGCTGGATTGATAGAGGAGTGCATGGTTGAAAGTCTTGAGTTCGAGTTGTAGTGTTGTACCAAGAGTGGCCAATTACCATACCTAAAACAAAAACAAAAATATTCCTATGCTATTTTATAAATTTGACTTTATCTTTTTGTAATACATTACATTCTTCTTCAATAATATAAGATTGAACACTTTTTCACATATTATTAACTGAACAATTGATAAATTTTTCATAAAAGTATTGTTTTCATATCTTCAACTCTAATAAGATTTAATTCCATATGCACCACTCGAATAAGTCGTATCAAATAGACATTTTATATGTTAATATCAACAAAACTTCACCTGTAATCAATAGCCCAATGCTTGCAGTCCTTGAGGTTGCTGTGGCTTGTATTCAGAAAATATGTTTTTCAATTCTAGAAAGATGTTTGGCTACTTAGAAAATGAGCAGAAGTGTGAGAAAATATGAGAATCGAGAGAGCATTATAGACTGAACATATCATTGGGCTTTCGATATGTTAAACCCACCCAGAACATCTTCTTTTGGGCCTTTCTCCACCCCCCTCCTCTCATTTCTTGAAGCGAAAATCAGATAATTATATTCCATCCTATATATTTTTTTTTGGTATCAGACTCTTATTTACGTACGTATAAATCTTTAAATTTCATTATTTTTACTCGTGACAAACGTTGAAACCCAAATTTATATTCTTGAAAAATAATGTCACGCATAATAATAAGGAAGCTTAGTAGAAATTTCAAAATTGACGAAACATTGCACTCTTTTTTTTGTCAAGACCCGAAAGTCTTTTTTAATGAAACAAATTTCCAAACGCGTTTTTTGCGGTCAAAGTGGGCTCCTTGCCAATGACTTCAATTTAATGCCCTTTTATTTTTTTTTCTTCTATCCACACTGCACACTTTTGAGTATAAAATTTACAGTCCCACTGTATATAATTCTTTTATATAATATGTTATATTTATCATAAACTAAATATCCACTATTAATTTTATAATATATTCTAAAACGTTATCCTCTAGTTAGAATGTCTTGATATTAAATTTATCGGGATTATGTCTTATCATTATTAGGTTCATGGACTGATATAATATTTTATAACTCAAATCCGATAATATGTATGGTATTGATAAACATTCTTATTCAAGAATTATTTATGTTATATATAATCATACATTTTTGCTAAGAGTCTTAAACTTTTTTAAAATTTGGTTGATGTTTTGTTTCTCTGTGCATTCGTGAATGGTAATGTTAGAATGTATGTTAGGATAGAAAAATCAAGATATTTGGACCGAAAATTTTGAAAAAAAAAAAGAAAAAAGAAATAATAACAATAATAAAAAAGCTAAAGAAAGTTTGGTATTGTGACAAAACCCTATAATAATAGATCAGCATAACATGGCTATTGAATATTATTAGTAAAATTAATAATAATAATTAGACTAATGTATTTTGAGTATTGATAAACACTATTATTAATGTCTATTAACTTTGACATGTCACATTCAATTTTTGAAGTTGAAAAACGTTAGTATATGTTTTAAAATTATCACATAAACTTTCTTCATTTAAATCATGGAATATAGTAAATTTAATTATAAAAAAATAAATTTCTAAATATATCACACACTAAACCATGTAAATTTTGTGATAAGAGATTGATATATTTTTTTGTATCAACATTAGGGAGTTTCTATATACTTGTGATCAAAGCTAATCGATAAATTAAAGTCAAAATAATTTGATGAATAATGATATCTTATAAAAAAAAAAAAAAAATCATTATATATAAGACTTATTATGAAACCAATCCGAAAATATTATTAGATGGTTAATATAAACAATTTTTTTAACTATCAATATAATTTTTTTTTAATATTCTATCTTGCTGAAACATGTAATCATATAAAACTACAAAAAATAAACTTTCGTTGTATAAAAGTTTTTGTATTATAAATTTTCGTTGTAAATTTGTGTTACAATAGTACGACAAAAATATTTTTTTGTAAACTAAAAAAAATAAATTAAATTGCTTATTTATTATAATTATAATTAGTAATAGGTGAATGAAAAAGAAAATCTAATTATTTAGTTATTTGACGTGAGTGTGTAAGGTGGTGAGACAAAGTTTTAAAAAGGGCGAAGGTCAAAAGTCAAAATTAAAAAAATTAAGGGTATACGAAAAGGAAAGGAACTATTGTCAGTCAGTCAGTCAGTCAAGTCTTTCTTGGAATTTTGTTACACCCTTTGGGAAATTCTCATTCACATCCCTAATAGATTGTTCTATTTCTCAAGCATCCATAATGTTTGGAAAGTATTACAAATTCCTTTAAAGATTAGTTGAATAATCAAAAACCCCCTTGAGAAATTATCAAAATTATAAATATAACTAAAATTATATTCTATTTAAGGGAGATAATTTAAGTTATAATAATTTTTTTTTTTTTTTTTTTTAGAAATTTCAACAAAAAACTATAAATATATAAAATCATTGACACTTCATTTATAGCTATTTATAGTTTTATACTAAATCTATTATAACCCTTGACTCATTTTTATGTTATAGATATTGATGTTATTACATAATACATACTATGTTTTTGTTGATTACAGAGGAACTTAGAAAATTTTAGATTTTATGATTTAAAAAATTTTGGTTAATAAAAGGGTGAGGATGAGAAATTGTAAAAGAGATTGAATTCTAAGACAATACATATCTGTTTTTCATGTTTCAAAAATTTCTTTAAAAAAAAAAGGGGGTATATTGGGTACTATATTATTTTAATATTAATTGTTTGAAAGTTTATATAAAAACTATGAGAGGAAATTGCCCTAGAATTAACCCATTTAAAAAAAAAAAAAAATCTTATAAAATTATCAAAATCCCCGTAAATTTGTTAAACAAAAGCAACTAAAATCGGTTATTACAATAAATAGGTATAATATCAAAATTTCTCATGTGTAGATCAATGATCAACTTTTGATTTTAGGTTCTATGAAGTTAACAACTGTGTTCATCTTTGATTCATACATTAAAATTTTTTAAAAATATGCATAAGAGATTAACTATTCATAATATTACTCTTCAAAAGTCATTAAAAATGAAGAAAGGTAACAACATATTTAATTGTGAGAATCCCCACGATAAAAGGTTTATTATAATATATTCTCAAAGTTAGGATTGGCAAGAGATTGTACGATCTATCAGAGGGGTAAATGAGAAAAACCCCATGAAAATTAATCAAAGTCATCAGTCAACTCCACTCCCAACAACACGCCCAAACATTTTCTCATAAAACTTCCCTCCCTCGTAAATTCCAACCATCACCCATTTCCTTCTTCTGTCTCTTCTTCCCCAGCCCGCCACAAAAACTTAACTAACTTCTTCACATTATCATTTACACCCCCAAGCTCAAATGAACCTCCCTCTTCATGGCTGTTCCTCCTATTTACTCCTTTCTTTCTTGTTTTTACTATACCCTTGGGCCTTCTGTCAACCTTCTCCAGACCAAACCGCCACCATGATCAAACTTTCTCAGCTTTTTGACAGTTCAGCCGTAGGATGGGATGTTACAAAGCAGCCGAACCCTTGTTTGTGGAACGGAGTTAACTGCAGTGGTGGTTCCTTGATAACTCGGCTTTCTTTATCTGGGTTCGGTCTCTCTGACTCTAAGTTTTTGTCTGTCGTTTGTAATATTAGTTCTTTGCAATCGCTTGATGTTTCCAAAAACCAGTTTAGCTCAATTCCCCATGAATTCATCACAGATTGTGGAAGGATTGGTGGGCTCAAGTTGTTGAATTTTAGCAAGAATTTGTTGCATGATTCTTTTGTTGGTTTTGATGGTTTTGTGGGATTAGAATTCTTGGATTTGTCTGATAATAGATTGAGTGGAAACATTAGTTTACTGTTGGATAAATTAGTTAATCTCAAAAGTTTGAATGTTAGTCGCAATAATTTTGAAGGGCATATTCCTAGCAATCTTGGGAAATCTAAAGCTTTAGAGCAACTTGTGCTTTCTGTGAATCATTTCAGTGGTGAAATACCTGAACAAATTGCAGATTATGGGAATTTGACCTTGATCGACTTTAGTGTTAATAAGCTTTCAGGGTCTGTTCCTCATAGAATTGTAGAACTTGCCAAGTTGGAAGTTCTAATTCTCTCTGCGAATATGTTACATGGTGGAATTCCAGCAAATCTCTCGAGTATATCAACCCTGTCACGCTTTGCAGCCAATCAGAACAATTTTACTGGGTCAATTCCAAGTGGACTCACAAGATATGTGAAGAATTTAGATCTTAGTTACAATGAGCTGACAGGGTTTATTCCAGAAGACCTTTTTTCATATGCAAATTTGAAGACCGTGGATTTGTCTTATAATTCTCTACAGGGTAAAATACCTAAGAAAATATCTCCAGGCTTGGTCAGATTGAGATTGGGAAGTAATTTGCTCGTTGGTGAAATCCCTTTGGCTAATTTTGCAACTCTTGATGAATTGACTTACTTGGAGCTGGACAGCAATAGCCTCACCGGAATGATACCTCCAGAGCTGGGTGATTGCCAAAATTTGACGCTGTTGAACTTGGCTCAGAATAAACTGAATGGTTCATTGCCGGCAGAATTGGGTAATCTCAGCAGTCTTCAAGTTATGAAGCTTCAACACAACAATCTGAGTGGAGACATTCCTGTTGAGCTTTCCCAGCTAAGTAAGTTGTCTCAATTAAACATTAGCTGGAATTCGCTGACTGGTTCAATACCTCGTTCCTTTTCCAACTTGCAAGGGCTTACAAACTTGAACTTACGACACAACTATCTCAGTGGTCCCATACCTGATTCTATCAGGAACATGAACTCTTTGATAGAACTCCAACTTGGAGAAAATCAGCTGAGTGGCCGAATTCCAGTTTTGCCAGTGAAATTGCAAATTGCTTTGAATCTGAGCAGCAATCTCTTTGAAGGATCTATCCCAGACAGCCTTTCTAGCCTGACTGGATTGGAAGTTTTAGATCTCTCAAACAACAAATTATCTGGTCAGATTCCTGAATTTTTTATTCAAATGCCAACCCTGACGCAGTTAATTCTTTCTAATAATCAGTTATCAGGAATTGTTCCAAAGTTTAGCTCGCATGTTTCGGTCAATATAAGTGGAAATCTAAACCTCATACCTGCACCAGCACCAGCACCAAACACTTCCTCACCACTGGCAAAGAGAAATAAATCAGTTGCTGTGCCAATTGTTATTGCCCTGGCGGCCGCTGTTCTTGCTGTTGGCGGTGTCACAAGCATTGCTCTATTAATTTCAAGACGCTTTTACCGAGTTAATGATGAGCAGTTACAAGATGGAGAGGATCTTCCTTTTCCCCAGGTCATCCAAGGCAATCTTTTGACAGCAAACGGAATCCACAAATCAAATATCTCCTTCCCGAAAGCCATGGAAGCTGTTGCTGATCCATTGAACATTGTGCTGAAAACTAGGATGTCAATCTATTACAAAGCAATCATGCCATCCGGAATGATCTACTTCATTAAGAAACTTAACTGGAGTGACAAGATATTCCAGTTGGGAAGCCATGATAAATTTGACCAAGAATTAGAGGTCTTGGGGAAGCTGAGCAATTCAAATGTCATGACTCCTTTGGCTTACGTGTTGACTGCAGATAGTGCTTATCTGTTCTATGAATATGCCTCCAAGGGAACCCTTTTTGATGTTCTTCACGGCAGTGTTGGAAATGCTTTAGATTGGGCGAGCCGTTACAGTATAGCCGTAGGAATAGCTCAGGGTATAGCTTTTCTACATGGATGGACCTCAAGTCCAATTCTCCTCCTTGATCTATCAAGTAGGAACATTATGCTGAAGTCGCTGAAAGAGCCGCAAGTTGGAGACATTGAACTCTGCAAAGTGATTGACCCCTCAAAGAGCACTGGCAGCCTCTCCATGGTTGCTGGTTCTGTCGGTTATATTCCTCCTGGTAACCTCTTTCTCCTGATTTTACAGTCAATAATTTCTCAAATTATGTTCAGCTTTTACATTTATCTGGTCTTACTGCACATAATTGCACGATTCAAATCTTCAGAAATATCTGGAATTCGCAAAATATATTCCTTCAGTTTTATAGATAATTCCTTGCTTACAAATTACAATGCATGTTTCCTTCTGATATGCATCATAATTTCATACTCAAAACTGCTCCTGATTTATTCAAGTTGTATCTTCAATAAAATTTCTCAAAATTAATCATTGGCCTCCACCGATCATATATCTTCATCAGATGATTCCAAAATTTCTGTTTAAGCCTATTGAGGTCTCTACTTTGGTCATTGCAGAGTACGCTTACACAATGAGAGTAACAATGGCTGGGAACGTTTACAGTTTTGGGGTTGTTCTCCTGGAGTTGCTAACAGGAAAGCCTGCAGTTTGTGAGGGCACTGAGTTAGCCAAATTGGTACTACGCAACTCAGCACAGCGTGATAAATGGGATCACATCCTTGATTTTACTGTCAGCAGAACATCACTAGTTGTCCGAAACCAGATGCTTGCAGTCCTCAAGGTTGCCATTGCATGTGTTAATGTATCCCCTGAAGCAAGGCCAAAGATGAAGAGCGTGCTGCGGATGCTCCTGAATGCAAGATAAACCTTTGGTGAGAAGAAAATGGGACACTCCACACTCGACAACACAAGATAGAGCCTTTTGCTTCCTGAGTTAAAGCAAATTGGAAGTTAGAAGTAGGCATTATATAATATACGTAAGATGGTTTTCTGATTTTTTGATCACATGTTTCCATTATATATGTACAATAATAGCTTTTTTAGCCATACAAAGAATGCTTGCCTGTAAGCCAATCTGCATGTAAAAAGGGTTTTTTTGGCAGTATCAAAGAATTCTATCTAAGATCCTTTGGAATTCACAAGATCATTTTACCTCTGAAATAAAGAGGTTAAAATTGATTTCTTTTTAAGTCGTTTATTTTTCATTGAGATTAATGGTAATGAAGAAACATAAAAATGCATATAACTATATAACAATCGTAAAAATTAATTAATCTCACTATTATACTTTATAAAAAAAAGTTTAGAATCTGATCTAGACCAATCTTAGTTCTAAAAACAAAAAAATTAAATTAAAAATCCATTTCACGAATTTGCTTTATATTTTCATGCAAACGTACTCATTTAAAACACGTCCCACCAGAACTCAAGATTTATGAAGTGATTTACATTCTCATACGTTATAGCCCGTTAGATGTAACAAATTAACAATATATCGAAAGCTTTTAATATGTTATATAATTTGAGAATTGGAAAAACAAAAAAAAAAAAATATTCTAAAAGCACCTCCATTATCATGTATAATATATTGTTAATCGTTTTTGGGGGTCAATTAATCATTCACTTAGAAAATGTAAGTTGATTAAAAAGAGTTCCTTTTGAAATAATGACAATAAAAAAAAAAAAAAAAAAAAAGGGGGGGGGGGGGGGGGGGGAGGGGGACGGGACATATGTTGAATTAAAGTGCAGGTTTTAAAACAAATTTGCCATAATCAATTTACTATAATAATGGATGTGAAGCCTGAGCTGGTTTCTCGTCTCTTGGTATTACTAAAATCTTAGAAGTAACAACACTCCCGACATAGATAGCCATAATTCATCAAATAATTTAGAGTAAACAACTTTTTCCCACCAAAAATTTCAAAATACCGTTTTCCTACCCAAAGTTAATATTTAGTTACTACCTAAGTCTTCCGAAACAACAAATCTCTCTATCACTACCATTTGTATCTTTGGTCTTCTCTTTACAAACTTTTTACACTCTACACCTGATTTTCATCGATTGCCAACCACCACGAATATAAGTTTCCTATCTTAATTTATTTTCAACTGATCCTGACAGCGAATAATCGATCGATCACACCATTCAATCCACCAACCTCCACTCTACAAAAACTCTTACTCTAGCTTCTGATAACTCATTGAAGGTTACTGAGAAATAAAAATATATTTTAAATTTAACGTAATATAATAATAGGTAAAAAAGTGATATTTTAAAACTTTTTGAGTGAAAAAATGTAATTAAGGCAAACCTCGGTGAAAAAGTCGTTTACCCAAGAATATAATAAAAATTAATTAATTTACTTAAAATTACAATAACATATTTGAAGAACTTTCGCGAGGGAGTATCAGTACAGTACTCAGCAGTACCAAAACTGTCTAAAGCATTAGCTGTTTCCTCATTGTTTGTATTCATTTAAACATCATCGATCGAGTCTTTTTTTTTTTTTAATCATTTCGGGTATTTCCAGAATAACGAATATGTAAATCTACCATCCTTTCTACTACGCCACACCCAAATCTAAGCAGTAGCAAGAACAAGGCCATAGGCAGCTTCGCCATAGCATCATTATTCAAACAATTCAAAATTTTAAGCATCCTGAAATATGATATTTTATTGTTTCTCAGCCGCAAGATACATATAAAAATAAACGATTGGTTCACCTTACAGAGACAATAACTCAAACCCATATACTAAGAAGTGGAAGAACTCTTAACTGTGAAATGCTAAAACACTCTTGGATTCGTCATACTTATCTTTCCCCCCAGCAAGAATCTAGAGATCTGGAGATCTCTAACAAATGCTTATTTGAAAAGCAGGCGAGTTTGCAACGCTGATACACTTGGAACCATGACAAATGGCAATAGGAGCAAAAAATTACCAGTCCCATCGCATAGTCGTAAGCTTGAGCCTCTCTTTAATTGATTCCCATAATCCCAACGCTTTGAACAATGGCCGCACACACTTGCGCTAATCTGCGAAGAGCAACAAAAATAAAATGATGGTTAGTATGTCCCAAATTTCTCGCAAAAAGTTTTATGCTCGTCAGCTAAAGAAATAATCAAAACTTGTAATTGGGGGAAAAGAAAACGACAGACAGGATTAAGGAATGATATTTCAAAGAAAATGTCCAATGCAGGAAAATTCGAACTTTGAATAATCAGATTTGTATTTGAGCAGGAATATAGAAGTAGTTCTGGAGATAAAAAAAGGGTTATTTGTTTCAAAGGGTAAATCACCCTTTTGTATTCATTCACATGTCACTTGAGAGTTGGACAGCAAGATATGGTAAGCGATTACATTTAATGGTGGGTACATTTCGATAATTAAAAACGTCGGGAATCGTAAACGCGTCCCGTTTATAACTTAATTGACAATATCTGGAATATACTTCTTAAGCTTTTGAGTTTAAACTTACGCAAAAAATGACGCCCCACCCTGTGGGAATGAAAGCAAGGAAACAAGCAATAAATCTGATACGTGAGTCCAAGTTGACATAAACAGCCTAGCCTACCTAGGCGAGATAAGGGGGTTATAAATGCCATTGAGACTCATGACTATCATGGGAGTGATAGGATAGTCTTCTACAATGAAATACTCTAATAACAACCAAAGAATCAACCAAATGGTGAAGTACACTTCAACAAACTTGTTAACAAAGGTTTATGATTAACTAGCACTAATCAAACTAAATCGTTTTAGCTCTTCTAGAACACTTCAATAATTTGACAGATGATTTAATCCCTTCTTAATCTACCTCAATCCATGATCTCTCAGTAATGTGAGAATCATTGCATACCTTTGAAACAAGAAGCCATATACTGGAACTATCCAAGATTCCATAAACCTATGAGAATGGAAGTATATAATAAAATGGCAAGAATGCTTCAACGAAAATATAACCACAGAAGCACATAAGCAACACCATATTATTGAAGAAACACATACGACAGTAACCTTGGATCTAGTGGATCAAGGTAGATACAATTCATATTGGTAAATGAAGTTGCGAAATACAAGGATAATCTCAGAATCCTCCCCTTATAGTTGTGCCTCTGAGGTGCTTGCTTGGCCCCCGTCAGCATTCCCACACGTCCAGCTTTTATCCAATCTGTGGTCCCATATCACCCGGGATTTCCCATCCCTTTCTCCAGCTGGTCCAATCATCATGTTTTTCGCATGTCAAACACCAGATGGATTGAACAAAAAGGAGCATACAACCAGGAACCAACTAGAAAACACAATTGAATAGGATAAAGGAGTAAAGATGAATTCGATATGATCCCCATAAGATCAGAACCAATAGTATAAACGGCTCCATGCCTTCACAAGTGACTTCGGGAGTACAATCTATAGTTCAGAAAACTTTGCATGAAAGAACAAAGCCAAGACCAGTAGCTTGATAGTTAGAACCTCCATGCAGGATTGTTCTGCATAATGATGGCTTTTGTTCCAAGCTGGAACGTAAGAAAACAGATGCCATTGCAGCTGCATAATGATAAAATCACAAAAGCAGCGCACGAATCCTTTTTCCAGGCCAATCTCCAGAACCATTGAGAAGATGACAACAAGCCAAGCTGTTGTACAATTGGACAGCCAAAGCCTTTCGAGGGCCTTGCTTTGATTGTGGTTGTTTACCAAGAATATATCTTTCAGCACCACTCATAACCAGGTATATATGTCCTATAAGAATAATAGGTTAGCACGGTAACCTGAGAAAACATCACATATTAATTGAATTGAGCATTATCCATATACTCCAATTTACACAGTTTTAGTAGTATTGCTGAGAAAACAGTCTTGTAACTAGGACTAGCCTAGAGCCTGTGTACATCTGTACTCCTCTATATGATCACAAACTAAAATTCAATTAACTTGGATCATATATTATGTTTTGTTCTAAGAAATTATATGTAAGATATTGGTGTCCTCAACAAGCGTTGGTCTAAACAAATATAAACCCTAAATATACTGACTGGCATTGCTAAAATGTAAACAATGAACAAGTGTGGTTAACATACCATGCTACTAAGTAGAATCCAACCGTTGAAAAATAGAATGAAAGCATTCTATAGAATCAAACGAGTGCCCAAGCCGATAAACATCACGGCTAAGTGTCTGCTCTCCATTTCCGTTGCAACCTTTGCCTCAAATAATGTATCTGATTCTTCCCACCACGCCCCTTGCCTACTTGGATATATTCACGATGTACTATATACCCCCCCGCAAGTTGAATTAAACCCTGTAGATTTCAACACAATTAGCTACAAATTACACAAGAAGTTTGTGTATTCTGATGAAGTTTTACCTGCAAATATGTCCTGGCTTAAGTTGATTATCTTTGAAGCTTTACTAATGCCACCCTTGTATGTGAAAGATTCGATCAATATATCAGGATGACCATAATGAACCTTACCCTGGAAATATAGAATGGAAAACTTAATGAAAACTCAGATAAATAAGATAGAAAAAAGTCAGTTAGTACAAACTTAGACCGACATAAAAGGACTTTAACATCTTACTATTTGGCAGCTGGATTCAAAGGATAGCAAAGTAGAGAAGATGAATCCCCAACAAAGTAACCGAGACAAGAAAAAAAAAATTACAAATTTCTTAAACATCATAACTCAAATGGTTCACATCAAGTAATTTGAATAAAAAATAATTCAATCATATGATTGAATATGTTTTACATGCAATTTCCTCTTTTCTATAAGAGGTAAAGCGGATCAGGTGACACTGCCTAAGATGGCTTTGATGGTCACTTAGAAATAGTTATTTTAGGGTTAGAAGTCAGTACAGAGGTTTCAGAGTTACCGGAAAAGAAGGGTGTCATCTGTTATTTTTCAAAGGCAAATAGATTACGTTTAGACAGTGAACAAAATATAGAGAGTTTTTTGTTACAATATAATTTGGCTTTATCCATGCTCATGTTCTGGTAGATAAGTCTCTTTCCCCAAAATTTCCCTTTCATTTCATGACCTTTATTATGCCTCATATTTATTGCAATGTCTACTAATGTAGAAACAATAGAGTACATTTTACATCATAAGATACTAATCATGATTCT